ACAAACAAAATTATCGGATGGAATCCAAGTCTTTGGATAAATTCTTATCCATCGTGCTTCGATATCCCTGTCCAATGTCCTTGTAACATATCCGACATCATTGGTATTTCCTTGAAAAGTCTGGAATGGAACAAAAAGATGACCATGGAATCTGTTTTAAAGTACAAAATTATAATAGACAGTTGTATTTTCATGCCTTACTCATAGAAAAGTGATGACTGTTACCTTAACCTGCGAAGCAGCATTGTCTTTATAAAATATAAAATTAATGTTGTCGAGGCTGTATGACACCTTTAAGAGAAAGTAGAAGGAGATTTATTGTTATTTATTGACAATAGGAAAGTAATGCAAAATATGCCAAGTAATATTCTATATTATAGTATAAGAAATCGCACGACCTCGAGTACAATTCGTTATTCTAGGCACGAGTGAATGATGTTTTGAAAGTTCTTGTAATTGCACGAGCCTTTAGACGAGTCCAATTTAAGAACGTTCAATACTTTACGAGTACATATATATTAATTACGAACTGTACGAAAAGGTCGTGCGTTTTTTTATTGATGGCACACTCAACAAAATATTCGAAGCGAAGGCATTTAGTTGTCACCAGACTAGTTGTAGAAGTTTTAGTATTATATATAATTATATTTATTACATGTTTATTATATTATGTTTTGTTGATAAAATTATAGTTTTAAAAATTTTAAATTTATAAAAATAAATTTTAAATTTATAAAAACTTTTAAGTTGATCCCAAAGCACTAACCTAATAGGAACTTCTACGGAATATAATTAAGAAATAATTGTACTCCTCTAGACTAATCAGAATCGAGTAATTTTTATGAGTGTACTATAAGTATTAATACTGTGTTAAAAGTGCAAAAAAAACATATAGATCTTGAATTATGTTAGATTTCAGCCAATCACAGCGCGWATAGCTGTTTTGCCGCCGGCCCTCATTCTCAGCTGGTGACGAACACGCGATATTCTTATCTCTAAAAAGTTAATGGAATTACCTGGTATCCCGTCACCCAAAAGGGTACATCATTTCCCCTTCCTTGCGTGACTATGCTCGTAACGAGCATTACGTGACCAAAGTCAAACATTAGCCAGTGGTTTCCACTTTTTGTTTTAGGACACCAAGAGTTAGCGCCTAAATTCAATCTTCCTTTATATGGTTCAAAACCTGAACCATAGAAAGACGAAGCTGTTATCTGGTTATTGGGTATTTCTTTATCTTCTATACCAAGATCTGCAGGAGAGGCTGGGTACCGGAAATATACAACATTTAGAGATATGCATGATTAAGTAGGTAAAAAAGTTTAAAAGGGCGTGGTACTTACCTCGACCATACGTGTATACTTCTACCCTCATTGCTATGTGTTCATTCCAGGTGACGGGGTTAAATCTGACAAAGCGTACATACATGACAGTCGGTAGGACGTGACGGACTACAGTTTCGCCATCTGAATTTCCAGTAAAAACCTGCGTATTGATAATTTTCATGTTATTAGCCTCGATATTACCTGTCGTATAAATAAGTTTTAAGTTTGTATAGAGGCTGCATAATTTACTTCACACCGTGGCATGGATTGATTGGCTTCACCGGCTGGCTGTCAAAATTAATTTGTAAAATTTCAAACACGAAATATTATGGTTAAATATTAAGAAATTAAAATTTTGAAAGGCTATAGACAGTACATTTGCAGATTTCAGTTTGCTAGTTTCTATTTTTATCAAAATTGCTGTAATAGTTGTTAAAATAGTTTCTTTTTTGTATCTTTCCTTCACTCGTAATTGATTTGCATAGCGACATCGTTTTCGGTCATTTTTGGCGGTTGTTGTCAGTCTTCAAGTTTTGTGTCTAACGATCGCTTCATGGGAGAACATTTATGACGCCCAGYATGACCGTGTGACCTCAAGAAAGATTTCCATGCATATAAAAGCTCCCACTGTACTAACCTTCCTAACACCTCCTTCCAGGTATTCAGTCCACAAGACTGTATCATTACCATACGACAGGTAATAGCTTGTTACCCTCTGATTATGAGCATGTCTCCCTTGTGTTGCAATGGCAGTGACAAACTCCATTCTGCTCAGATCAATCTGCAACCACTGATTCGTGTCTAATGTTCCAGCTGACCAGACTTGGTTCGAACCATATTTGGTCCAATGTAAGCGGCCATATGAGCCAGGGAGTCCAGTCCAAGATGTAGAAGCTGTAACAAGGCTGTCTGGTATTTCTCCACTCATCATCCCCAGGGGAAGCGTTGGCTCTGAATTCCAAAGAAAAAAATTTTATTTTCTTTTCTTTTCTTTACATAATATCAATGCATTTTAACCTACTTGCTTCGCAGCCGTACAATTCGGTTCTGATGCACACGTGACTAAACCAAGTTTCTGGGTTTATGCGGACATAACGAGCAGCGGTGATCGTCTGTAAAGTCTGGATCGTGACCTCTCCACTCTTGAAGTTCCCTGGGAACTAGACATCACAACTCATTAGCATTAGTTTATGAAAATGCTTTACGATGTAGAAATATATACGGCGTTCGAATCCCTGTCTCCAGACTCGGTTTCAAGTCCTGGTTCAAATCTAGATTGATTGCTTGGTTCAATTCTTAGCTTTGATGTGGTGTTATTATTTGAGCTGGACCCATGTGATCAGAAGCCGATCAAAACAGCATTATGGAAATAGAAACGGGAAAGTCTATTTTGTACTCAGATATATAGTCTTACACAGGCCTTACATCAGACAAATAATCAAAAGTTCTACTTACAATTCGCTTGACTCCATTCTCAAGATATGTCAACCAACGCCCTTCAAGAACTGCATAGGACAGACTAAAGGTTTTAACAAACTCGTCGTCATTTGGGTTTCCTTGTATGGCGATAGACTTGATCATGGTGACGAGCCCCAAGTCTATTTCTAGGTGCTGGTCAGCGTTAGCTTTACCAGCACACCAGACATGCGTGTTGTGGAGTCGGGCTTGTTGAGGACCGAA